TTTACAAGGGAAGAAACTGAGTGGAAAGATATTACGTTATTTGCCCAAATGGGGCTGCTGGGATGGCTGACCGAACAATGCCTTAACACACACCTTACATTGGAAAGGAACTGGAAAGTTTATCTCTCAGCCTCCTCATCTCTAAGCAAGAATGGCTTCAATTTTGATATAGTTATTTTATCTGTGAGTTTTCTAGAGGAGATTCCTAGTGTCACGTTGTAACATTTTAGTCTTAGTGTCTCAAAATCCTGCCTTTCCAGTGCCATTTTAAAAGTTGAAAGTTTCTCTATACAAAAGCAATGAAATTTTACATAGCAAGAGAAATGAAAAATACTTTTATTCCAGCACAGTCCTGCCACACACATTGCCACCAAAATATCTTGCTGTTAATCATCCCTAATAATATAAGATAGACAAGACAAATATTTATTGGGTTGATTATATTACATCTGTTGGTGGTGTTTAGATATTTTCATATTGCTATTCATTTATATGTTAAATGTCTATATTATATTTCTATGATGCATCAGCAGACACCATCATTTACCATATTAAAGGTGTTTTCTCTCAAATTTTGCTTTATTAGCATGTCACACTAAGCACCTCTCTTTTTCAATAATAATACTGACATGTAATCCATATACCATAAAATTCACCATAACCTAACCCTATAAAGTTATTATTGAAATTTTATATGACAGGATAAATGAGATCCAAGTAATCTGTATAGGGTTATGTGCTACCTCCTGGCTGGGTGTAGCTGATCCTTTATCTGCTTCCAATTCAGACTGGCTACACCCAGCCACGAGGTAGCCCACAGCCTTATACAAATTTCTTAAATCTCATTCATCTTGCTGTGTAAAACTGCAATAATAACTTTATGGGGATATTATTAGTATCAGATTAATTGATATGTAAAATACTTAGCAAGTGTCTAGCATGTGGTAAATGTTTGATAAATGATAGCTACTATTATAGTTTACAGAAAGTTTCGATGTTTCTGCAGTCATATTTATTTTCCCAACAGCCATAGGTGCTGTGCTTAGGAATTATCTTAAAGGTATATGAATAGTCACCTGTATGTTTTTCCAGAAAATTCCAAAATTTCTGTGATCTTATCTTTAACTCATACAGAATGTATTTTGTTGCATATTTTATGAAGTGAGAATCTGACTACATTCCTTCATGCATACAGGTTATACATATGATTAATCAGATTTTCAAGTATTTGTTAAATATACTTTATTCACAGATTTGAAATGCCATTTTTATCTTATACAAAACTCATATGCACATCTTATGCAAAATTCATACACAGTATTTACTAATTCCTGTGCTGTTTTGTTTCATAAATATGACAATTCTGCTCTATTTTATTTATTGTGGCTTTGTAGTTTGTTTTAATATCTGATAGTGTCAGCTCATAATTAAATCTTACAAAGTTTCTATATTCTTGCATATCAATATCTTTACACTAACTTTATTTTCATCATTATTATTATTAATTTTTTGTCTTTTTGAGACAGGGTCTGGCTCTGCAGCTTAGGCTGGTCTTGAGCTCACTTTGTAACCCAGGATGATCTAGAACTCGCAACCATCCTCCTGCCTCAGCATCCTGATTGCTAGGATTACAGGCATATGCCATCATGCCTAGCTACCCTAACTTTAAGCTAGACAAACTGATATTTAAATAATCTTGCATAGTATTAAATATATAATTTTATGAAGCATATTTTTACAATATAATATTCCCATATGTGAATAGTGTGTTTATGTTTTTAAATAAAAAGCACCTCAGTTAAACTTCATTGTTATCTTAACATTAATAGTGAATATTGTCTATTATGGTTATTCCTAGGTATTTCATATGCTTTGTAATTGTGAATAATATTTCTTTGACCATCTTCCTTTCACTAGTTCTTCTTCTTATACAGAAACTAATTTTGTGAATTGTTATTATAACCACCTACCTTACTGTACTTATCCTTTCTAAAATATTAAACTGGTTTTGTTGAATTTTTTTT